TCTCCCCGCACCCAAGGGCAGCCGCCGCCGTTCGTTCTCGCGAGACTTCCTGGGCGGCGCGCGCAACCTCTCGGGCGCAGGGGCCGACAACAAGCGTGCAACTTTATTGAGCACCGGGAACACAGACACCCGTGGCGCTCAAGCGCCGAGTCGAGACTGGTGTAAAGGAGGCGCGCGTGCACCCCCAGCCGATTTCTGGAGGGAGAAACTGAAGTCAGCCAGAATCAGTGAAGGCAGATCTCGCTAGCCCCAACTCAGAAGGGCCTAGGTTAGGAAGGGTTTGACCCGGAGTGGTGGCCTAATCTGGGGGTGGGACTATGACGGGTATTTGGGCGCGGGGCGGAACTCCATTTGATAGGCGCAAGATGTAACTATGGGGCGGGACACAGCGGAAGTGCGGCCACTCCCAGCGCCAGAATCCGCAAGGGGGCGTGATCACGCCCTGGGCCGGTCTCCAAGCAGAGTCCGAACCGCGTGCGACTGTTTGGGGGCGTAGCCAGACTCGCGGGCGGCGGAAGATGACGATCCCGGGGCTAGGATTTTAGCGGGACAGCACCTGTGCCCTGCCTGCGGCTGGCTCGTCCAAGCCCCGGGCCGGAGGAGGTACGCGCTAGACTTGGGGGGCGTGGCCGGGGGGGAAAAAACACTGCCTGAAGGGCACTTGGCCAATCCGGAGCTGTACGATTGCCTAAGGGGCGTGGCCGTGGCCGTTTGGGTAGCTCCCAGAGACTCGCAGCCCGGGGCGTGGTCAGGCTTTCTGGACCGCAGGACCCGGACCAATCGTAGTGTTGGCTTCTCAGTGGGGCGGGGCCTGTCTCGAAGGAGTGGCCAATCCCGTTGCGGAAGCCTGAACTGGGCGGGCCGCAGGAGAACCAGGCCCGCCTGGGGGCGTGGTTTGTCAGGACGTTGGCCAATCTTAGAGTCAGGCCGGGCTCAGGGGCGGAGTTTCGAGGTGCCCAAACCATTGAGGGCGTTTGGGTTTGAGGAGGGCGCGACCCATCGGGCCGAGGCCAATCGCTCGGTCCAGAGAGAGCCTCTGGGGGCGTGGCCCACCGGGGCTGGGGGCGGGGCCTGGGCCCGGTTCCGGGCCGTCCGGGACGGCGCCGGGGCCATGTCGGCGCCGCAGCCGCTGCAGATCCGCGAGGCGAACGCACACCTGGCGGCTGTGCACCGGCGCGCGGCGGAGCTGGAGGCGCGGCTGGACGCGGCGGAGCGCACAGTGAGCGCCCAGGCCGAGCGCCTGGCCCGCCACGACCAGCAGCTGCGCGCTGCGCTGGAGGAGGCGCCATGACTGGTGAGGCCCGGGGCCGGCCAGGTGGACTGACGTGGGCGAGTGCGCAGAGCGATAGCTGGAAAGGGAGGAGAGGCGCGGGAACCGTGTACATTCACGTGTAGGCTGGACTTCCGGTGCAATTGAAAAAACAAACACCAAAAACCTCGAACTAGTCACCGGCATGCAAAGTTGAGGGTGCCGCCGCGTGGATTTTTAACTGAACAGAGCCCGTTTTTCCAACAAGGCAAATGGTTTCTTTTCCAGGTGGTGTGGATCACCCAATTTTAGGTATTGGGAGCCATGACAGGTTTTGGAGCAGAGGAGGATGGGATCACACCAGCAGTTCTGAAGAGCCCCTCTAGTTTGAAGAGGTGAAAGGGACAGAGACAAGCGCCCAGGGGGGAGGGAGGTCTGCCTGGGCGGGAAAAGGGTTCGGACCTGGTTGGAACCATTCATTCATCTTTACTGAGCACCTATGTGCCAGGCTACAAGACCAGAGCTCCTAAGGAGACCTAAGAGTAGCATAGCCCTCAAGCATACTAAGCAGTTACAAAATGGGGTGAGCAGATGGAAGGGCACATAGGGTCGTAAATCAGATGGAAGGCTTCCTGGAGGAGGGGCCATCTAAGCTAAACAAATAGGAAAAGATGTAGGGGAAAGGGGACCTGCAAGGGAGCAATGAGGGTAGTGTTAGTCTGCTCTGGTTGCCATTACGGAACACCAGAGACTGGGGGGCTTTAAACAACTGATTCCCCCCCCCCCCCAGTTCTGGGGGCTGGAAAGTCCAACTGATAGGTTCAGTTCCTGGTGACAGATTGTCTTCCTGGCTTGCAGATTGCTGTCTTCGCTGCGTGCTCACACGGCAGAGAGCAAGCAAGCTCTCTGGTGTCTCTTCTTACAAGGGCGCTAATTCTACGAGGGCCCCACCCTCACAATCTCATCTTATTTTACTTACGTCCCAAAGGCTCCATCTCCAAATACATCACATTGGGGATGGGTGGGTAGGGATTCAGCCCAAGAGTTTTGAGGGGACACAAACATCCAGTCCATGCCAAGGGGGGCCTTGAAGCAGTGGGGAGGAGCAGGGCCTTTATCCTGATGGTGATGGGGAGCCCCCCACGAGGTCGGGAGCAGGGAGAAGAATCTCTGGTCCCCTTGGTACCACAACTGCCCTGTCTTGCCTTCCTGCCAGTGAGATTGCCGCTCTCCAGGAGCAGCTGCTGACCTCCGAGGCCACGGTCCACAGCCTGCAGGCCGCCCTGCGCCAGAGGAATGAGCTCATCGGGCAGCTGCAGCCCCGGGCCGAGCTGCTGCAGGACATCTGCCGTTGGCGGCCACCCGTGGCCGGACTGCTGGCCGCCCTGGCCGAAGCCGAGCGCCTAGGGCCCTTGCCAACTGGAGACCCCAGCCACCCACCCCCCAGCGGGCCCGGTCCAGGCCTTGCCAACAGCACTGGGGACGAGGAAGACAGGAACCACCTGCAGCCTGCGGTGTTTGGGACCACCGTGTGAGCCCTAGAGCACAGATCCCACAACGGAGACGGACTTCCACTGCTGTGGGTGTCCTCAGGGGTCACCTGTGTCCAAGAGGGGGCCCCGTGGCACAGCCATAATCCTTTCCAAGCATCAAAACCTGCTAAAAAGTCATAGGTTTCAAACAGGCAGCCCGTGGGCCAAAGGCAGATGTGTAGCCCAGAGAGTTTTTTGGTTTTGTTCTGCTCTTGTCGTTTCTTAAAGATTTTAAATAATCTCTTTGTGGGGCTTGAACTTCCAACTCCGAGATCAAGAGGCCCATGCTCTACCCACTGAGCCAGTCAAGTGTCCCTTGTTTTTGTTTTTAAACAAAACTTTAAGTCAGTCGACTTACTGAAAATTTGGCAATGTTTACACAAAAATCTGGATTTCTGGCTTCAGTCTTGGTCACGCCTGCTCGGATCTGAGCCCGGGATACCCTCTTCAGCCAAAGTGTGAGGTCCAATTGGCTCTCTTGCCTCTCTTAGGGCCAGATGTCCGGCCCCTGAAGCATCTGACATCTCTGTCGCTTGTGGAGGCAGATGGCATCGAGTTTTGCTCCACCTTTTCCCCCTGCCCTGATTCCCGTTCCTTCCGAAGCACCTCTCGTCCCAGGCTAAAGCTTTTTCTTTCTTATCCTTCATCCCACTCCAGAATTGGGGACCTCAAGACTTGGGCCGTTTTGCCCTGGTTGTAGGAAGACAAATTTTTAATGCTAGATTTTTCTCTCCCCCTAACTCTGTCCTTCTGTCAACCTTTAGCCCAGAAGGCAGAGCGTGCGTGTGAGACATTGTGAGATGTTGGCAGCTAGGCTGTGCTGCCCTGGAAAACTCAGGCATCCCTCAACCTTTTCTTGGTACAGTCCTTCCTGAGGGATTTTCCACTGGCTCTTCCCTCTGCCCAGAACATTCTTCCCCCAGATGTCACAAGGACCAGTTCCTTGTCCCTCAGATCTTTGCTCAGAAGTCACCTCCTCAGAGGGGTCTTCCCTGATTGCCTTATCCGAAGTGATTCCCATCATTCTGTTATCTCTATGGAACTTCTTGTCACCAGAGTGTCAGCTACTCGAGGGCAGGGTTTCTGTTATCACCAGGAGGAGTTTCCTGGGACCTCCTTAGGAACAGGATGGGTTTGTGGGCCCTGAAGGGAGTTAGCGAACCCCAGCACATCTGATGAGTCCCCTGGCCAGTTTAGCTTTTGTAGCAAGCAGCTGGCCCCTTTTTATATTTTCTAGAGAATCTTTTTTTTTTTTTTAATCTCATTTCCCTGCTGCCCCTTCTTGGCCAGAGACATTCCGGGTGCCTGTTTTTGTTTTTAAATCAAACCAGGGAATCCTGTGCCTTTCTCTGCCCAGCCGAATGAAGCGCCCAGCCCGGTACCACGGTAGCCATTTGCCCGCCTCCTTACTCAGGGAATTTCACACCAAGAACTGCCAAGGGGCAGGGCCTGTTTTGGCCTGGAAAGGTCGGTGACCCTCCCCAGCCCCCAGGATGGTGCTGCCTGCCCGCCTGGTGTCTAACAGTGACCCCTCAGTGTAGGAACAATGGCCCCATTTTCTAAGGATGACTAAGGGGGGGCTGCTCGTATGAGGGAAAGGCAGGCTGAGGCCTGTCTGAGCTCAAGAATAAACTGAATGATTTCTTGGCCTTGGTCCTTCCTCCTTCCCGGGTGGGGACTGGAGGGGTGGCCCGGGTGCCGTTCCGGGGTCAGGGTGGGGTCCTGCCCGGCAGGGAGACACAGGTTACAGCCACAGGGGGCTGGTGTCTAATCTTTGCGGCACAGGCTCGCCCCATTTTACAGATGTGGAAAGTGAGGCTCAGTGTGGGCCTCGGGGTCGGGAGGACCTGGAACACTTCCACGTTCTGGGGGGGTTATTGTTGAGATTCTGATTCTCTTCAAGATGAGGCGGTGCCAAAACAGAGTTACAATGGCTGTGGTTAATATTTGACATTTTTCTATGGGAAAAAAAATGTGATTTTTGTAACCCGTGTGGAAAACACAATGCAGCAGTTCTCTGCCTACTCGAACAACTACGGACCGCAGGAGGGCACCAGAATTTTTGCTGTAGTTTCACATACAATTGACAGTGTTACTTACATCAGCTGTGGCCCGAACCATGGTGCTGGGCCGCGTGCTCTCTGTGGATTGGTTTCTGATACCACCGTTGTTCTGTGTCTGAGTCCAAGCTTCGAAAAGCCTCTGATGATCTCTCTGGGTGTCTGCAGCTGATGGGTCCCCAAACGGGGCCCACGTTTTAGGTCCTGGGAAATCCAAAGTCATTTTCAGTCCCATCTGTGGGTTTGAAATGCTCTCAGCTGGCAAAGGTGTCCAAAGTCTCCATCGAAGGCCTTCCGTGACGGTAGCCTTGGTTCTTCTCGGGCATCGGGAGGGCAGAGGCACTTTGTCGCTTGGTGCCGTAGTCCCCTGGCTCCCCCAGCTTATTATGAGCAAGACCACTGGGTGATGTTTGAGCACTGAAAACCGACCACCAAAAGACCCACATCGACAAAAACACCACAACTGGCCTCTAAAAAACTACCAGGAACTTCTCTGACAATGTTGAAACATCGTAAGGCTGCTGTATCCTGGCTCAGGCACATTGATCTGAAAACCTGGACGTGGGCCTGGGCCACCTCAAACCCCTTTGAACCTGGATCCCTCAGCAGCCTTGGCTGCTGCTGCCCTGTGAAAAGGGGCAGGGGGCCGGTAAAGCCCAGAGAGGGCAGGGAACCTGTTCCAGGTCACACAGGAATTGGGTCTTGAGCCTCCTCGGCCATGACCTTGCCCCTCTCCATTCAGGACCCTGGTCCTTGTAGGGCTGTGGCCCACCCCTCCTTCTTATAGCGAGGAATAGTGACCTTCCTCTTATAGCCAGGAAGGGTGACCCCCGACTCCCCACCTGGGTCTGGCTTTATCCCAGACCTGGGCACTGCAAGGCTGGGAGTGAGCAGAACAGAGGCTGGGCAGTGGTGCCCGCGAGAGCACTGCCCTGTCCCTCTTGGCCCGGCCACTCCGCTCCACAGGGTGTGCCTGGGGCTACGGGGCACCGGCACAGTGAGAGTTACAGCCGGGGCCCCTCCCAGTCTCCTGAGCCACCATCCCTTAGCAACAGTCCTGCTGGGCAGGACGCGTTGCCAGCGCTGGGCAAAGTGGGCAGGAGCCAGAGGAGTGGCTGTCTGGCTTCCAGAACAGACGCAGGGCAGGTGAGCAGGTAGTGGGCCAGGGCAGGCTTGCGGCACCTGACCACAGCCTGGCCGGCAGAGTGGGAGCCCTTCCTCCAGCTCTCTCCAATCCAGCTACCCAGACAGCCCTGACCCAGCATGGATGCTGTGGACGCCACTGTGGAGAAGCTCCGGGCACAGTGTCTGTCCCGAGGGGCCTTGGGCATCCAGGGCCTGGCTAGGTGAGCTGTCCCCTGAACCTTCTCGACCCCCAGCTCCAGAGACTACCTTCTAACTCCGTCCCCCGCCCCTCAGGTTTTTCCGCCGCCTGGATCGGGACAAGAGCCGATCCCTGGACTCGGGGGAACTCCAGCGGGGCCTGGCTGAGCTGGGGCTGGTGCTGGACGCAGCTGAGGCGGAGGGTGTGTGCAGGCGCTGGGACCGTGACGGCAGTGGGACGCTGGACCTGGAGGAGTTCCTGAGGGCACTGCGGGTGAGGCCCTGGGCCCCGTGGTCTGGAGGGTGGGCTTGCCTGGGACAGTGCGGACACCGGATGTCCGAGAGCCCTGGTGGGTGGAGGGCCCCCCAGTTACTGCCTTCTCCTCCCCAGCCCCCCATGTCCCAGGCCCGGGAGGCGGTCATCGCAGCTGCGTTTGCCAAGCTGGACCGCAGTGGGGACGGCGTGGTGACCGTGGACGACCTCCGGGGGGTCTACAGTGGCCGCGCCCACCCCAAGGTGCGAAATGGGGAGTGGACCGAGGAGGAGGTCCTCCGCCGCTTCCTGGACAACTTCGACTCCTCTGAGAAGGATGGGCAGGTGGGTGCCCCCGGATACCCCTGCCCCCTCCACCCCGGTGTCTGGTCTCCACTTACAGCCCATCTGCCCCCAGGTCACTCTGGCTGAATTCCAGGACTACTACAGCGGCGTGAGCGCCTCCGTGGACACAGATGAGGAGTTTGTGGCCATGATGACCAGTGCCTGGCAGCTGTGAGCAGTACACGCTTACCCAGCCAGCACCATCATAGTGTAGGACCCCCACCCTGGCCCCCGAGCCCTGGCCCCTCTCACCTGGGCTTCTAGCTGCACAGCGCCCAGGGTGGGGGGGCTACAGAGGAATGTGGAAGATTGAGGCTGTGGGACCGGCCGGACCGGGTCTCAGAGGACCCAGCTTGGCCATCAGGTGGAAGGAGGACAGAGGTTCCAAGGACGGGTCACTGGCTCAGAATCCCTGTCCCTGCTGTGCTGACCTCAGGCCTCACAAAGCCACTGCAGATGCCCCCCACCCTGCTTCCTCCCGTCTCTGCTCAGTGAATCCTCCGCCCTGCCAGCAACGCCCTGCCCCTACGCGTGCCCCCCCACCCCGCCTCCACCCAGGGAAGCCAGACGGCCGGGGACAAAGCAAAGCTCAGCACGGAGGCGGCCAGTCTTGGAAGGCCGCCAAGTGTGGTGACCTGCCCGGACGTGCAGCGGGGCGCAGGGGCCAGGCTGGCCCGGGAGCCGGAGGCTGTTCTTGGCCAGGCTGTCTGGCTTCCTGAGGCCCCTGGGGCATGCAGGAGGCCAGAGTTTTAGTTAAAAGTTTTAATGTAGTTCCCAAATACATTTCATATGACAATCTTACATAAATGTTCCAAAACACATGGGCATTATCTGGTTTTACTTGTCACTAGTTGGCTAAGGCTTAAAGCAGAGAAGTGTGACCGGATCTGCTGGGAGGGCCTTTGGTGTCTTCCCACGGCTCAGGCTCAGGCTGCACACGACCGACCCGAGGTGTGGGTGGTGTAGCTGCACAGATGAGGCCTTCTTACCCTCTGAGGGCAGGGCTGGGCAGTTTCCTCTGAAATCCCTTGGAGCCCTGTGCACAGGACCATCTTCACAGGCCTTCCCAGGTGCATGATGCCCGGCTGGCTCTTGGCCACGCTCCAGGGTGGGGGGTGGGCATAGCGCCTGCTCCCGTGGGGGATGGCCGGTTGCCGGGAACCAGTCCCCTGCTCCCTCCTCGAAGGCCCTGCCAAGGTCCCCCTCTGCCTCTCACAGAGGACCCCAGCCCTGGATGGTCTTGGGGGCGGTGAGGTCCAGGGCTGGGCAAGGAATGGCCAGCGGCAGGAAGCAGTTCTGCGCCTGGGTGCCAGATGATGGGTGACCGACGTGATGGGGACAGGCAGGAAGGTGCATGGGGACCCTCCCAGGGTCCAGCGACCCTTTTCTAGGTAAGCTCTCTCCAGGTCTGGGGCCCAACCCCTCAACACGTCAGCACTGGGCCTGAAGCACCCCTGGGTAGGGAATAAGCGGGGGCCTGACCCCCACCCCAGCACAGAGGCCAGGAGCACAGGGAGGAGGAGGACGTGGCCCAGGATGGAGCTGTACCCAATCGATGCACAGGAGAGTCTTAACCTAAGAAACCAAACACAAAGCTTTGGGGAAAAAAAGATCTAAAAATATAAGCCCCAAATCAGAAGGTGGGAAACCGGAGACAAAGATGGTGGTTAACAAAGCGTCCAGCAGGCCCAGTGTTTATACTCGTGTGGACAGACCCGCCTGGGTGGGCGGCGGCGACAGAGGCCGGGGACACGAGGAGGGAGGGGTGAAGAAACAAGGTGTCCCAGTCCCAGTGAGAAGCCGTGACAAGTCTTAATGTGCCATTTCGATTCAAAGGAGGGGAGGGAAGAAATGTTCTTTTTCGTTTTGCTCATCAATATGATGAGGTCTCGTGTCCCAAACCACATTCAGGCAGTTCCCGAGTCTGCTTCTGAACGGGACATGCGGATCCGAACTGTGGCCAACCCAGCGGGGAGTGTGGTTCCCGAGCCCCACGCCTCAACACTGCCGGCGGGGCGGGGCGGGGCGGGCGGGCGGACAGACGGACAAAGCAGCAGGCTCGCGGGCAGCCGGCTCCCGGCGCTATGTGCTCCCGGCTGTCTGCCCGTCCCCTTCATCGCCAGCACCTGTTGGGAAGCAGCGGCCTCACCGTCAGGTCCCCACCCTGGATGGAGCCCCATTCCCTTCGGTCAGGCCCCCCCACAACCTCCAGGGCGGGGACCACCAGCTCACCGCCTCCGGTGGCCCCTGATGGAGCCAGGACGTCCTCGTCACTGTCGTCCTCGTTGGATGGGGCTGCCCCGGGTTCGGGGGCAGGCATCTTGGCTTCCTGCTCCTGCTCCACGCGGCTGCGCAGGGCCAGGATGCGGTGGTGCAGGGCTGCATACAGCTGGCCCGTGTCCTTGGAACTGGCCTGGGAGAGGCGGAGGGAAGCGGTGGGTTGTAAGGCCTCTGGGTTGGGCTGGCTGCCACCACATCCCCAGGCTGTGTCCGGGGAGGACAAACTCAGGGACAGTGGACGGAAGCCCCTGCTGCCCCGGGGCCCGTCCTCCCCAGGGGCTCGCACAGCTTGTGGCTGCACCGCGCTGGTGCTCGTGCTGCGGGGCTGCTCTGGTCGTTCTTCCACCCATCTGTCCCGACCCGCTCCTTCTGGACACTGGCTGGCCTGCAGGCCACCCTACTGGCCCCCTGGACCACAGGGCGCCCCACAGAGGGCCGGCGCTTAGTGCGGCCCTGCGGTGCGCCGACTGGGTGTGCCCGGGAACCTCCCTTCTGTGGGGGTGCAGGAGGGCACGGCCCTCGTCCAGGGCGCCGTCTGGCAGCTCCTTTCCCCAAGAGGTCAGCAGCATCCCACCCCATCCCCAGGGCTACTCACTGAGATCAGGAAAACCTTCACGCCCTGGTCCTCGGTGTCCATGGCTGTGATGCGTATGCTCTTTTCACTGGCCTTGTCAATCTGCATCTGGGCCCACAGCTTGGTGTTGAGGATCAGCCGCAAGCTGCCCTGGGTCCGCATCACTGCAACCAGCAAGGCCACTCAGCCCCGGCCCCTGACCCCCACCCCACAGCCGGCGAGGAGAGCAGACACCACCCGGAACGAAAACATCACAGGGGTGAAATCCCACAATCCCCTCGAGGTCCGCTGAGCCGTAGCCCCCCACGCGCCAGGCCAGCCCTGGACTCCCTAGCTCCCCCATGGCCACAGGTGGGCCAAGAGGCCACCATATCCACTGCGTGGAGGGTTCCGTCGGTCCTCCCAGCAGGCGCCAGGACGATGGCTCCCTTGGGGAAGGGGAGGATTAGGGGGAGGTGAGGCCCAATAGGGACAACTGCGGGCTGGGCACGGGCGCTTTTTTAGGGGACCACTGACCGGCCCGATTCTCAGGGCAGCCCCAGCCCCGACCCTGTGGCTTTCTGAGAAAAAAGACCGAGGCCAACTGCTGCTCAGAGCTTCCACCAGGAGGGAGACAGAGACAGAAGGTGACACATGGTGAAGAAAAAAGAGGCTACAGACCTTCCTTCTCTGGAAGAACCACCCCATTCTACCTGCAGCAGGCCCAAGGCCACTGTCCGCCTGCCGGCTCTACCAGTGCCCACCCTCCCCGCATGTGCCCTGACCCTGCGGACATGGCGACGGCTTGTCTTCCTGTCAGCCCACCCCTCCCCACCAGACGGAGCAGCTCGGGCCAGCTCAGGGAGGCTGCAGGGTGGGGTCCTGGGCTCCTAGTGACCAGACTCCCCCAAGTCCACTCCCCGAGCCCTCTGCGCCCAATGGGCCCACCTCCGAGGCAGGTGGAGCGCTTGGGACGGGCTGGGGGAAGGAAGGTCTGTGATGAGGATCAACAGCCGTACGGGATGACTGAAGTTACCGTTTGATTTCCTTTCCCTTTTTGCACCATAAAGCAACCGGCCCTTTTACTATTAGAAAACAAGTTCGAAAGTTGCTAAGTACTCTTGTCTACTTTCACACCCACAAAGAGGAGAGTCGCGGAAGAGCTGGCTGCGAGAGCCTTGGGATCAGGCCTGGGCCCGCAGGCCACGGGGTGTGGGTGCCAGGGGCTCTCCCGTGGGGATCCGCCCTGGGATCTTGCCCTTCTGGGCGTGGGGACCACTGCACCACCCCAGGCCCCCTCCACGGCTCACCTAGTCGGGACTGTAGTGTCCCATCGTCAGTTGACGCCATGTCGTTGAGTCTGAGCAGCCCCCGGCCTCTTTCCACCCACGACTGTGAGGCCTTGTCAAAGACAAACAGCTTACACTGGATCTGGAACACAGGGCAGCCCTCTGGGTGAGCAGGGCCCCGGCGGGGGTGGACACTGGTGTGGACAAACTCCCCAGAGCCTCCAATCTACCGAGTGAACTAGCAGGCAGAGGACAGCAAACTATGGCCTGGGGGCGGGGGAGCGGGTCACGTAGCCCTTGGCCAGTTTTTCTTTTTTTTCCCGTTCTCCGGCGAAGATGAAGTCTACATTTTCAGAGAAACATTAAAAAAATCACTAAGGTCGGGGCACCTGGGTGGCTCAGTCGGTTAAGCGTCCGACTCTTAATTCTGTCAGCTCAGGATGTCACGGTTTGTGAGATGGGAGCCCCACGTTGGGCTCTGTGCCGACAGCGTGGAACCCGCCTGGGATTCTCTCTCTGCCCCTTCCCCTGCTCATGCTCTTTCTCTCAGTGAATAAAAATAAAGTAAAAAAAAAAAAA